TGGTGGAGACGGCGGAGTTGCGGCGGCGGAGAAGAATCTGAAAGAGAGGCGAAATTCAACACCCCATTATTCCCTCGAAGCTCTTCAAAGGGTAAGGGCATGGCCTTCATCTAGCAAAACCCAGAAATCATACGAACCCCACAACTTGAAATCCTCCAGTTTTTCCACAGATTTTTCTTCCGAAATTCGAACCCCAAGAAAATGGGTTTAGAGAGAGAGATCTGGAGAAGAAAATTTCAGAAGGGATTTTGGAAAGAGGCTCAAATTTGCAGTTGCAGAGGAGAAATTGTTCATCAGAAAATTTCTTCTTCTTCTTCTTTCTTCTTTCTTCTTTCTTTGTTTCTTGTTTGTGAGTTTTTTTTTCTCTTGGTGGAGTACTTTGGGGTTCCTTCTGTTCTGTGTCTCTGCTATGGATGCGTGCAACATATAAAAGTGGTAAAGTGCTTCTCTCTCTCTCTCTCTCTTTGTTTCTCTCTCTAGTTATTTATATATTTTTTTATTACTGTTTTTTTTTTTTTGGGGTTGGGTTAATTTTATATTTGGTTTTTGGGTATTTCTAATAAATGTTTACGTGGATGGAGGGAGTTTGAGCTTGCAAGTTTGCAACTAGCCTCAATCCCTTGTACCATAAATTTATAATTATTTTAATGGGTTGGGTAGTATTAAAAATTTTTTTATGCAAGTACTATTTTACTTCGTTCACTTTTGAAACGTATTTCAATTTTAGTTCATTTTACTTGCAGCAGCTATGGTGGTTGTCCTTATAAAGTTTATTCAAAGGTTCAGGTTAGGTTACGGATTGACAATTACAACTTTATTTTTGCTCAATAGATACAAAACACTCATGCTTTAGTATCCAATATAACGGTCTTTCAATGCAACAACAAGCACCAATTTGACCTGGGGGTGGTGATTTAGTGGCAATGGATGACAAAGTTGCTTTATTACCTATTCTGTTAGGAACCGCATATTGTTTGGTACATCATATTCATGCATTTACAATTCTTGTGACGGTATTGATACTCTTGAAAGATGTTCTATTTTCTCGTAGCTCGCGTTTGATACCGAATCAGCTTTCGTTTTCCTTCTGATGGACGCAGAAGATGATGCGTAGCAAATTTTTTATTAATAATGGGTTTTTAAGGGGCCAACTTATGGGTTAGGCTTCTCTTTGACTTAATAACTACTATTGCCTTCTTGTCTAGCTCTATCAATAAACCTTTTTTTAAAAAAAAAAACTTTAACAGCGTTTGTTTTGGTCACTATACTATTAATATGACCTAGGCTTATTTGCAAAATTGTAACATAAATTGTATACACAATGAAAATCATTTAATACAAATTTATGGCTACAATTTTTTAAGTGGAATGTCATGTTAAAATTGTAATGGAAAGAAATGAGATAAAAATAAAAAATGAAAGGACCAAAATAGTCACTTCTAAAAAACACAGAGACTAAAATGAACGAAATTTGAAAATCTATAAATCAAAATGAACTTTGAAGGTTCAACGACCACAATAAACTAAAGTCAAAAGTACTTCAACCAAAATAGTATTTATACCGATAAATTATGAGTTTGGTGGTCAACTTTTAAAATTGTGTCTATTTGATTCATATGCTCTTTTCTTTTTTATTTCTAAAATAGGTACTTGAATTCAGGCTTTAATCTATTAAAGCTTTGTAATTCTAAAATTTTAATAATTCCTCCATTTTCAATTTTGTGTCATATATATATATATAATATTAATGTCATTAATTGCATAAGTTTAATACTTACGCCATTAAAGCCACCCCAATCATCCTAAACATGATCATGCCTAGTAAGTTATAAAATACATTAAGTTAGTGACCTTGAGCAGATCTCACGTTAGTCATAAGACGAATAAATATTTGAGCTTAAGCCTACCTTGCTAAGAGAAGATCTCAAAGGGAAAAACAGACGGCAGAAAGCAATACCTTCCAACCATCTAGTCGAGAGAATATATCCTTGACCTATCCATGATTGAAGTCAATGCCCAATTTATTTCTACCAATGCAGTGTAGGAGTTCTTTTTGAGCACAAGTTTTTTATATCGAGAAAGCGGGTTTCATTTTTCGAAAAGCCTGTTATACTATTCCACTTTAGCTAAGCTAATGATGAAACATACATACTTGAGATAGAGTCTCGGATATCGCATATCGAAGACACCTGCCCCTGACCTGTCCTGTCTTAGAAATAGGCTCCGAAGGAGTATAGCTTTGTTGGGGGTGAACTTACTGCTCCTGACTTTCCTCATAGGAGTAGACAGGTATCTTTTTTACGTTCTCTCCTTTCTTTCTGATTTGGACTTGGTTGGAAGGGTCAGGGCCTCTCTGCCCTGAACGTGTGCCCATTCAGAACTGTCACTTGCTTAAGATATCAGCAAAAAGATTTCGCAGTCTTAGCACCGTATCAAGGCAAAAGTGTCATCTTCACCGGTGACCACACCCCACTCTCGCCAGATGAAGGAACGAGAAGACCTAGGATGTAGAAGATCATAACATGAGTGATTCGGTAGGTTTGGATTCTTATATATCCACTCATGTGGTACTTCATTGTACGATTATATATAAGATCCATATATATAGATATCATCATCTACATCCAGAAAACCAAACCAACTCGGATCTGCCCTCGAAAGTCTCTCTGCATTTTGGGAGTGGCATACCGGCTGGCTCAGATAAACATTCCAGCTATTCAAAGAAGGCGGTCCTGCTGCGTCTTTTATCTCAGGTCTTGGATCACCTACTAAAAAGTTTTTTTAAAAGTATTAGAACCCGATGGACACATCTTTGAAAGTTCAAAGTGGCGTTAGAAAAATTTTTAAATATAAGGACTAAATAGATAACTTCCTAAAATTCGAGAATCAAACTAATCATTCTATGAAACTAGTAAAAATTACCAATTAATCCTTTGTAAAAAAAATTATTAATTAACTTAAAATTAAAGTAACTAGCAATTAACTTAGACTCATTTCATAACCATTTTGTTTTTTGGTTGGCTGGTTTTAAAAAGTAACCTTATAAACCATACTTGAACTTGTGTGTTACTTTGTTTTGTTATATGCTTTTTTATAGATATATGCTTTTTATAAATATTTTCAAAATCTAGGTCAAATTTTGAAAACTAAAAAAAATTGTTTTTGTTTTTTAGATTTGACTAAAAATTCAAATATGTTGTGAAGAGAAATGAAAAACCTACCAATGAAAATGAAATTGACAAAAACAAGTAGAAAATTTAAAAGTAGAAAATTTATTAAAGATTATCAAAATATTATCAAATGGGCACTTAGTTATTGATTAGCAAGTTTAATTTGACAAACTTATGTATTGGTAATTATAATCTTATTTTGTCAACCTGAGCTAGCTCAACGGGTTAAAATTCACCTATGTTTAATTAGAAGGTAGTGAGTTCGAATAACCCCATATGTTGTACTAAACAATATTATAATCTTATTCTATAAAAAAGATTGACCTTTCTATATTTTAATTGGCAATGGGACGGGTAGTCCATATCTATTAAAGATCGTGATTCTTTTAATCCATAACCATTGTTAGATCTCTTATATTTTCAACGTGGGATCCTTAACGAACATCACATAATTTCTTCAAAAACTTCTTATTTGTATTTCCATCAATTATATTAGCCAATATTTTTATCAACAATTTAACCCTCAAGTGGTGAGGTTGTTTGGGTGTAT